GGAAAAGTACCATATCTTGGCATTTACATTCAAAACTGTAAAACATATACAGCAGATGTTGTGAAGTCAAAAGATAGTTATCCTTAAGGTTGAGTGTGACACGGGGAGGAAATCTACCTATATTGCTCAGTTTTAATGTATCTATATATTCTATCTATATTTTTTAATTACACATAATTCAACAACTAGATGGCTCTGAGTCTACACAAATGACACAAATGACTTGTGTAGACTATGGATGTACTTCCTCACAATCTATGGTGTTAACATCTCTACTTCCACAATATTTGCTGCATAAACTTCATAACTAACTAATGCTCTTCAAAATCAGAAAGCTGTTTCATCTGTTCCACTTGCATAGAGTGCCTTCTCACAAGTTTCTTCTTCAACTTGAGGCCACCTCTCTTTGGTGTGTTTGGTGCTACTGGAGCTATAGATCTAATACCTGTGGCCAGAGGTGAGGAGGGCTTGTTGCTAGCCCCGATATCGGGAATGGGAGGGTTTGGGTTTATGTTAAGAGGGGGGAGGTGGCCAGGCCTGGTGTGGGAGATGTGATCCAGCAGAAGTGTGCCTGAGCCTCTTCTCTCCAGGAGACCAGGTGCACGCCTGCGTGCTGTGCTGGGAGAGGATGTGCTGGCATTGCTGTCTAGAGATTCTCTGGAGCTGGTTAACATCACAAGTGGAGAGGTGTTTAGTTTCCTGCGCTCCACCGGGACCTTAGGAGAATCTAACATGGCAGAGTCTGAATAGAGCTGTGAGTCTGAGTCATAGTGATCATTCCCCAGGTGTCTCCTATGCATTGTGTCTCTCAGACTGGCTAGTCCACTGCTGCAGCTGCTGCTCTCCTGCTCTGTAGGCACCGTGCTGCGCCGTGCCAGTGGCTGGTGTTGGCCTAGCGTTCTCTCATATGATGGTTTAGATGTTGGAGGAACTGATAATGAGGTGGTCATTTTGCAGGGCTGTTCTCCCACTAGTGGGAATAAGCTGTCCTTCCCATCTACACTGTTCTGTCGAGATAAAGCCGACCTCTTACTCAGAGAGAGTCCGTTTACCCCTGCAACAACATCCTCATCAGAACTAGCTTTCTTACTCTCATCATGGGCGGCGGCGGCAGCAGCAGCCAGGACAGAGGGTGCAATCAACCCCCAAGGCTCTGATTGCAGCCGCTTCAGCTGAGGCAAACGTGCACGTTTGGGGTTTGCAGGCCGCCGCGTCGGCGACGTGGGCCCATTGGCAAGTTTCGAAGCTGAGCTGGAGGTTTTTAGCTTTGTCTGGAAACTGAAGACTGTGTTTTGTTGCTCTTGCTCAGGTGAGGGCGATGCTGTGACGTTAATATCAGAGGGAGAAGTGCAGTACGCCGGGGAAGATCTCTCAACCAGCTCTGGTGATGGAGGGACATTTAGATACTGTTTGGTAGTCTTAGTGCCAGATGGTGACTTGTCTGTGGTGATTATGATCACCTCCTTGCCTTTAGCTTTGCATGCATCCAAGAGCAGTTTAAGTGTCTCTTTGTCATCTGCGTTTATGGCATAGACCAGCGCTGAGGCCCCGCTCCTGTCTTCCAGGCTGGGATCAGCACCGTTGCTAAGTAGGTGATCCACCACTTTGTGTCCAGCCTTGTGAATGCAGGCGTGCATTAAAGCTGTCCGACCTCCTTTGTCCTGTATGTTGGGGTCCGCTTGGTTGTCCAGCAGATATTTTACGAGCTTTGCCTTACTTACACTCTGCTGGTCGGTGTGTGTGGACATGCAGGCCACCATGAGAGGTGTTTCCCCACGTTCATTGCTCTCGTTGATGTAGGCACCTCCTTCCAACAAGAGCCTGGTGAGTCTCAAGCGTCTGAGCCACACTGCCTTCAGGAGTGAGTTTCCATCTGTCCGCAGTTCCAGAATATCTGCCATTACCCAGCCAATCACAGATCTTCTCAGTACTGAACTCACAGCTCGCAGCCCTTTGAACAAATTTGTGGAATTAGTTCAGCTTACATAGTAAAATGAGTGATTAATACCCACTTTGTTTGTCTGCTTTTCTATTTGTTATCACTGCCAGCAGGTGGCAGTCTGTTACAACCTAAAGAAAATAAAAATAAAACTTACTCTTATAGATCTGTGAAATATAGTGGATATATTGTTTGTTTAATTATTGAAATTGAATCAGTGTTGTACAAAAAATTGGCAGTTTTCCTAAAATGCTCATGCACGTCCTCAAAGATCACATATATCCATGCAGAAGTCAGCGTGGTAACACACCTGTTAGAGTCATAAACACTACTGATAGATGTGTCATGATGTCATAATCAAAGTTGATTTTTTTTTCTAAACCTCTATCTAGACAGCAGTGCCCCCCACCCCCCACCCAACATACTGATACTGACACAAAAGCCTCCAGTATTCACTACAAGTAAGCATAAACATAATTTTTCCACCTTTCTGGGACGAATATACGAGAGACTGCGCGTAAATGCGATGTTTGTTATATAAATTTCAAATAGTGATCCAAACATCTGTTCAAGCTCTTTAACTGGCGACATTAAATAACGTCACGCTAAGCTCAAAGAGTCGCTGTCCGCGGTTCTCATTTTGGGTAACTTGGCTCGAAAGACGCGCTCCATTACACGTTGCGGTGTTCGTCGTCTTATTCTGCTTCAAATCCCAAATGTAAACATTTTATCTGCAGTTTGAATATTAATTTGCCAACATTAGACATATATTTGATTTCACATGCAACACAAGCTGTCGATCTAATTTAACAGCCTCCGCCTTCACCGATACAAGATAGCGAGGTAAAGTTGAATTAATTAACCTTCACGTGTAATATTGTTTGTGTGACAGTTGTTTCCTTACCTGGTCAAAGAGGAGATTTTCCATGTTCAAAGTAACCAGTGCTCTGCCATCTGCGAGGGCGAAATTAAAGATTCAAAACAGAAAGTTTGTTGAAGTTCTCCACAATAATCCTATTTTCTTTTTTGTTATGCAGCCGTGACTGTTCCCATCAATACGTCTTGGTTTAGGTTACAGTGTGCCGTGCCTCTCTGGCACCATAACGCATGAGCTGTGTGGCTTTTGTTATGGAGGCACACCACATCAGTCCAATGGGGAGTATTCCTTTCACTGCGCACTCAAGGATCACAACCTGGAGATGCTGCGGGTTATAAATAACTTACTTTCTTGCTGGTTGAATGAAACGTGTGTTCTCTTGACGTCAGAGTCGACCAAAATAAATTGCGTCTGATGAAAAACCTCTGTCTCGGTCTTTATATCTGCTGGACACAAACAAAACGAGTGCTGCCTCCTAAAGACATGCAAATGATCTGCGCGCGCGTGTTATTTTAATTATGTCAAAAGAGCAGTATGAAAATGAAAACGGTGGGCACAGTTTGGCCTACACGTGATGAAGATGAGAAGGCTTCTTTTTCTCCTAGAGCCTAGTGCTTAGGCTGCTTTTTGAATTTTCTTCAGATAGTAAGTCTGCGCTATAAATACGATTTAATCTTTCTGCAGGGTGGAACAGGAATAAAGGCAGGTTGTCTGTCTGCCATGTATGAAAGGGCACAGAGAAAACAATTCAGTTGTAAAATGTGCCTGGACCACCATCACGCTGCTTCTTGCAGGGAATTCCAATAGGATATATTCACCAGCTATCTTTCTTTTCTTATTTTCATTTTTTTTAAAAAGAAATCATATTTTTAAGCAGTGACACTTTGATACAAAGCATTAGTTAATATTTAATGTTTATGCATATCTGCAGCGCTTCTTTCTCTCATTGTCATGTACTCAACAAATTATGTGAGAGAGCAAAAATATTTTGCACCTATATATTTACAGTACAATTAAAGAAGCCAAAACTTGTAGCAGCCATCGCAGCTATACAGCCTAATAGGGACATTTCTATTTTTAGGTTGCTATGAGACAGCACAGAAGCAGTTTCTAATGAGAACAGTGATGTTCTCAGCCCTGCAAAGAACAGGTAAATCAGACACATTCCTCCACGGACAGACAGGATTATATGGCATTTTTTATGCAGTTATTTTTGGATCTATTTTCCACTCATGAGTAAGTCACCACCACCACAATCAATCATTAATCCTTTGACCCCTGCTCCTTTTTTTTCTTTTCTTTTTTTCTGACTCTAAGACTAATCACTTTATTACCTATCCAAAGGCTTGACGTCTCAGGACTTCAGCTGTCAATGTTGCCAGTGATTTCTCACCTGTGATTGCCTTCTCAGTCCCAGAGGAAGTGTTGTTTACAAGGCACATGGAGAAGGCAGTTTCATAAAGCAGCTCATGCTGTAGTCACCACCTCAAAAGAGTATGCCCCTCCTGTTCAAGAGGCATTAACAGTCTGGCTAAATATTGTCATTTCTTCACCAGAAATGACTAAAAGAGTTGTGTAAAATATTGGTTTATATGTAGATGAGTAAAAACTGTTCTTCTAAGTGTCAAACTTGATTCTAAGAATAGGAAGTTCTAAGAAGTTTTTTTTTTTTTTTGTCAAACACAAACTGAAATTGTTATTCAGATGCTATTATGTATATTTCACATTTTATACTGTTGAGTAAAAATTATATGGGTCTGTATTATAGACAGACTTCAGAGAATCATGATGATCCAAGGATCAAAGGCCAAAGCTGACTAGTTTAGACACATTCATTATCACTGGGAGCCAAAAGGACGTCAGTGGCCCTCACAGAGGGTGATCTTTGCCCCGATGATGCTGTCGTCTGCAGTATATAGAGGAAAAATAAATAATTAAAGTGAAGAGAATAAGCGCCATCACCCCTGGGAGCACTTTCCATTTTCAGATATCTTACACCACAGCTGCTGCTCTCCCTCCCCTCCGTTCTAAATATAACCTTTTCTTCTGTCTGAATTGTGACATTTTTTACTCATCAGACTACAGTAGCTCAAAAACTACACTCTAAAAAATATTCGTTGTGTTTGTCGGTAGAACTTAACAAAAAGCATTTTTCTGCTAAAAAAAGTAAGTTGCCTACATGTACACGTTTCAGTGAGTTGAATAATCAATGTTAGAAGTCAGTGCAACACAAAAATTAAAAAACAGCTCCTTAACTTAAATGTTTGAGTATATTGAATAAAATACTTTTGTCATCAATCAACAACAGAAAATATTAAGTTTGTGTAACATGTAAAAATGAGTTTCAACATCCTTCCTGTTTGAATTGAGACCATTCAGACAGACGAGGGCAACCCCGTAGCATATGTTCGTATCGTGCGCAACAGTTTCTGGATTCTTGTGGCTTCGTGGGAGAAGAGGTGTGTTTGCCCTCGACTGTGTTCGGTGAGTTAAGTAAGTACTGAATTCTAAATAGATGAATTACAAGTTATATTTGTACACTCTAAAATGTCATATTAAAAAAAACTGAAATTTGATGGTTTTAATCGTAATTTAGCAGAGTATAGTTGTTGTTGTTTTTTTAAGTTTAGCTAGCCGTTTCTTTTAGCTAGCAAACGTTCCTCACAAATAAAAGAGTACAGATACAATTAAAACATGTCACTTGTCAGGGTACATTTGGTTAGCTGATAGACTATGCCGACAGCAGAGCATGTTCAATTTGAACCCGTATATGTTCAAATTAACCGGTCAGTAGCTGCCTGCATTTTCATCATGGTGTCAGAGTAAATTCGTGTTTCCACAAGATGGTCTCGGGTGAGGTAACTAATTACTGACAGAGTAAAATGTGGTGAATTTATCCCTGACTAAAAGTATTTCTATCAATTGTGTTGATGTTCTAAGCTCGACTGGGAATTCTGCCTGAGATTAAAGTTGGTTGACCTAGCAAAAAAAAAAACCAAAAAACAATATTGTGTGTGTGTGTGTGTGTGTGTGTGTGTGTGTGTGTGTGTGTGTGTGCGCGCGCGCGTGCATACGACTTGCATTTGCTTTCTGTAATTGTAAGCATAATGTAAAGTGTGGGATTGTGGCATGTCCACAGTGGTATTTAAATAGTTTAAAAGAAATTTCTCTTGCACATTTGGATTTGACACCTTATTACAAGTTTAAACTGCAGTCTGTAGATGTCAATTTTAAAATTCAATTTTGTTCAGTCTTTATGATTAATCTTTTTCAGTGTTGCATTGTAGTGTTTTAGAGAAGGTTTTATACTTAAAATAGCTTGTTAACTCAAAAGCTTCAATAATTCTTTGCATTACAAAAGGTCGCAGTAAATTTCAAAATGCATTGGACTTGCAAAATTTGCAAGTTTGAAACATCAAGAAGGAATGAGCTCTTAAAGCATTACAGGCTTAAACATAGCCATGGTGGACTGTTTATACCTTGCCTGTACTGGGATTGTTACTGCTCATTTGAACATGTGCTTCTCATAGGAACCGAAAACACACTCCTCACTCATTGGATGACTTCAAGCCTGAGCTGATACAGAGGTGTGTCAGTCGTTTGAATGCAGGAGATGATCCTCTTGAGGAACATAATGAAAATCCATTGTGTGAAGATGTAGCAAATGAAGAGGATGAAGAAATTGGGGAATTGCCTAATTTAATTGAGAAACATTTAGCCCACCTACTACTAAAACTGGAAAGTATATATAATGTACCTCGCAGGTGTATTGATGAATTAGTTGTTACAGTTACAGTTATAGTTCATGTCATTCTCTGATTCAGGTCCTATTCATCAAAAGCACAATTGTGCTGTTGATGAAATTTAGGTTACATTTACTTTTAGTCACTTTATCCTATTGCTAGCAAAGTGGGCATTTAAAGCAGGCCAGTGTGTAACAGTTTAAATTGAAGTTACAAAGATTAAATCTTTATTTCTTTTAAAAACATATTTAAAATCAATATTTGGCACAATGCAAGTCACATAAATGTAATAGTTTTGACTTTTCACCTAATAAACTGTAAGTTTAAGTTTTGTTTTGCTTTTTTTATTCTCCAGAGTTCGGTGGAAATGAAGAGAGAGGTCGCAATCCGTTGCCTGAAGGTGTACCTGAAAGAGAAGGAAGAGGATCTCTTCAGAGAACAGCTGGTAGGTGAATCTCGCATTCTTTTGTGTTTTATTTTTAAATGGCACATAAAATGCTGACATGTTTCCATTTAAACTACCTACTTGCCAGGATGGTGAACAACAGTTCCCAGAAGAAGTGGTAAAGATTGTAGACACCAGACGAGCAGCAGTGTCTCTCCCAGCTGTCGCTAAAATTGTGATTGAAGGAACAGCAGTCCTGGAAGACCTTGATGTGCCCAGAGTGTGTGCCTTAATGATGGGGCTTATATACACTCTCAATCTGAGCTACCCAAAACAAGTAAAGAACACTCTAGAGGTATTTCTGGAACTTGATGGGCTTAAACCAGTCCACGGGTAATGTCTATTAAGTGCAAACTTCTGTCATGAAACGAATGTGAATTGGACTGTAGTATTCCGATGTGCCTGTTACGTTTTTGTATGCAGTCCTAGATGAGTGTAGTTTTGAGAAAAGTTTGTAATACATATAATCTTAGCTTTGGATTGTTCTGTTGTTGAACATTAAAATCTTTTGTCATTTCCTTGATTCTGCGACAAGTTGAACAAGTTGATACCAATTTATGTTAATGTTAATGTACATGAAGTACTTTTTTTTTTTTAGTCATTTATAATTAAAGGGCTGCTGTAATGTCTCATTTATGTTGTATTGACACAGAAGTGTATTACTTTGAAAATGTTTTGTAATAAAATAATCAATTGGAATAAGTGAAATGGCTTTGTGTGATTTTTAGAAAAGCTAATATAGAAACCTAAACTAATTGGCATGGATAATTGTGAGTAGGATATATGTAAAAAAGTTCGTTGGTGTAACTCAACTAATGTAATTTCTCAACTTAATTTTACCAGAAATTTTAAATTAATATTAGGTTGAATAAACTTAATTATGCTTGTGGAGGTCAAGGTAAATCATGTTGGTTTGTTAAACAAGTTGAGTTAGCCAAACCTAAAAATTACTTGCTGAATTTACTTAATAATATGCAAAATTTGTAACTTAAAAAGCTGAGTGGAAATTGTTACCTTACTTTTTTAAGTTGAGGCAACAAAATATTTTTTAGAGTGTATTTATATATTCTGACAAAGGACACATAAAAGTTATCAGCAGTTTTCAAATTTAGAGTCTGATCACAATTTTTCCAGGAGACGGGAAGAACAGAGCACTTCATGTCTAACCTTAATTTCAAATAATGCCTCAGTTTTGAGAAAACAAGAAAGGAAATTGTTTTTGTAAACTGCAAATATAAATATGCTCAGTTTTTTTTTATTGCACTGAAAAAGAAAGTTGCTGTTGTCAAAGCCAGTAAAATTTGAAAGTAAGATACAGCCAAGTGCTACAGGAAAGTCTAAAAAATATATAGTGCAACATGTCAGCACATATTTATTCTTCGCTGTGATTACTGTTTAATTTTCATCCTCCTCTGAAATGTCAGGTGACAACTCATTGCAGAACACTAATTTAAATAATTGAGCAAATCTTGGTATTGTGGCAAAGATATGTAATTTTAACAAATAAATATTCTTAAGTGTTGTTAAAGTTACATTTATTCTGTTTAAAGTGTCTTTTATAATTTCATCACTTTCATGAGTTCAGCACATAGACTGTAAACAGGTTACAAATGTCTCATAACCATACACTGTATATAAAAGATGGCTGGAACTAGCCAATGCATTTAACCTGCACTTTCTCTGACTTCTAGCAGAGCTACTGAGCTGCCATATCTGTGACCTCGGTAAACAAATTCCTGATCTCAGTCACTGGTTTTCTTCTTGTACATAAATAGGGTCACATTACATTAAAATAACAACAAGAACAACAAAGCCAAAACAAGGATAAAGCAGGGCATGCTTTACTGTGTTACTGACAAGCTGCTAGGCAAGAAATACGTGTTATCCTTTGATTTCTTGTAGGCTGAACATGGCTATCTGTTGGCAATCGACTGGCAGACCATAGGGTACAACCGTCAGCCCTTCTACCTGCAGAGAGCATCTGATGCTAGATGTAGGCAGTGTCCAAACCAAGACTTTTTTCTAGTCTTGCTTGTGTGCCAGCCCCAGAGAAGAGAGAAGTTCTAACATGTAAAGTGATGAACTGAAACAGAGTTTTAAAAACAGTGAAAAGTGTCCAGTGCTGCCACTCTCTGTACTTTTAATACTGTATCATTTCATTTCTGATGTTTTTTCCACGCTGCTCCTGTTCTTTTTAAGCTCCACTATCACAGCCAATCAGCATTTAGCATTCAACAGTTACATGCTGTTCGGTTTTTGGAATACTGTGCGTTTTTTGTAGGTTGAAAACCTCTCTCTGAAGGCTCTCCACAGGTGCATACCTATGCAAATGGCCAATCCCGTGGTACCATAAAACAAGCATCAATCAGAGCCTCCCCTGGCTTGTAGTGTAGGTTTATGAAATACCGACCTCTGCCAGTTTGAAGCTTCATAACTACATTAATCACAGTGTTTATATCCATCTTTTATATACAGGCTATGATTATGACAAAAGTGAACCCAGATTGTTCAAGAGAATCTGATTGGACTGCTTTCAAGCACATCACGTGAAGAACATTATATCTTTTTATGTATACATAAGTAATCTTGAACACTAGCATTAGCCAACTAATGCCAACTATAACGTGAGTTAAATTTAAGGTTAGCATTAGGGTGTGAATTGTTTTGGATAATTGAGGAAATGGGGAAAGCACTTAAGGAGACCGGGATATTATGGCTGTTATGGGAGTCAAAGAAAATTCCTTGATCCCCCGTAACAGCCTGTTAATTATGTAAATAAATAATTAACTGAACACAGTTTACCTGGCGCTCTCCAGTGGCAACAAAAGTCACATCTGAGAAGCTGCTAGTTTCTTTACAAATACCTAATTGTAAAAAAAAAAAAAAAAAAAAAGCAAACTGCTGTTTTATTGGGAATACTTGGTTGGGAACAATAATCTCCCGGAGTCACCACTGGTTGCTGGGAAACTGCTCAGCCAAGAAATAGTCTGATACATAACACCCTCCAAAACTGTTGATTTGCTGTTTTCGCACTTTGATTTGTGTAGCTGTTTGATCCTGTTTTTAGTCTTTGTGGAAGACTAAGTTAGCCAGCTGCAGATGAACGCATCACATTTTGCATATGGACACATAAACAATAAACGAAATGACATAAAGGATACAGATACGATTGGAGAGCTGCCTCTACAGAAATTTCAATTAAGCCCAAAGTCACAACAATTCTGCCATAACAATTACGTCCACTGTCTGAACACAGGAATTCCGAATAACATTTGCCTTTTCTAAAATAAACCCATAAATCTTTTTTTTTTTAAAAACATATATATATCTCACTTATCCATTCCTTCCTGATAACTCCATTTGCATTAAGACACCGAAGCCTGCATGTGTGTTTTTTTCTAGCACATATATCGCCTGTTGTTGTGCTGATGTTGTGCTTCTAGCTCTGTGGTGGTTGTCTCTTTAAAGACTGAGTTTGACATTCTCATGGCATTTGGTGTCTCAGCGATTGTATCAAGCGAATGTGTGGGCTGCGACAGCATTAACTCGCACGAACCCTGCTACAGCTTTGGACTGGACTGCTCCTTGTCTCCCTCCTACCGTGGCAGATTTAAGGAAATGCCTCCAGTGCAGCTTAAAAACCTGCCACCCCTCACATATGCTGCGAGTGATTTTTTTTTCTTTCCCCTCGTCCACTCATGATTATAGCCCGTGAAGTATAACACATTTTCAGACACTTTGATCTTTTCATATTGAAAAGTGCTACTTTCTCATAGTTGAAATCTTGAAATGGTTCCACTCCTCCTCTGCCTCCTTCTCCTTCACCAGTCCTTCTGTTCTTTCTCATCTCGCATTGCAAACCAACACCTGCCCTTCTGGCAAGCAGTAATTGAGTTGAGCATTATTCAAGAGCATTATACAGGCAACAATTTTGCTGGGTGATCATTGTGTACGTTGGCTGTATCCTAGGAGATTGGTGCATATCTAATAAGGAGTTTGTTACTCATTTTGCAGAGTGGGCACTTTGATGTCCGCCGTGTTGAATTTTCTATTTTAGCTCAACATCCTCCTAATGAAGCAGAGGGCTTGAAGCCTCAGAATTGGTTGCTTATCAACTCTACACTCCACTTATTAGTAGTTGTTGTGAAGCCTTTAATTGGATACTGGAACAGGAGGCACCTTAATGGTCTGTCAGTAAAAAGTGGTCATGATATATAGCTACGGATGACAGTTTTGTTAACATGGTTAAAAATGTGAAAGGCGAACGCTCGCAAAAAACTCTCACTTTCCCCTCGTGTTTCGTGGCTTTCTTTCCTTTCGCCCTCTAAATCAACAAGTGTTAGGAGAATTTCATTAGGTGCAGTTTCAGGTGGAGTTTCAAATTCTGTGTAGCTGCCTCACTAACTACAAAAGTAATTAGTGGCAAAATTGATGTTTTGGTAGGATCTGTCACACCTCTCTTAACACCACCAAATCAAAAGCTTAACAGTGTGTCTTGCCTCCCACTGGGTAGAGAGCAGAAACTCTTCCTGCCATAAGTTATCTAATGAAAGACAACAGAAAAATACAGCCATCAATAGAAGTCCAGGAATATGGCCTACCTACCATTACACTGAGGTAATCGTGTCTTAAATATCTTTTCTAATTTTTAGTATCATGTACAGTGTTTTACTTTTGTAGGAGTATCTTTATCCTTTTCAGAATAAGGTAAAAGCAAATATTGATATGGGGTTAAATTAATTTCTGTGAAAAACTGAGTTTTCCACTACGAATTCATCACAGACTGTTTCATAGCTGCATCTGTCAGAGGTTTGGGCTCGTCAGAGTATGTGGGTACATCAGTGTGGATGAGTGGATGTTCTGACAGTGAGTTAGAGAACTCTGCTCGCGGTTCACACCCCTGAGACTGTGACGTCTTTGACACCATGAGGCACTCTGACCAAAATACACCTCCTCTGCA